GCTCTGCAAGTCACTTGCTGATCAGGCCTGCTGATCAGTGTCTCCCGGCTCTGGTATTCTCCGGATGGTGCTTTCCTTTCAACTCCAGGCTTGGCTGACATTGCTGTGTGAGCCCTGGCCTCCAGGCACCCAGCCAGGGACAATTCAAGGAGATCACAGAACAAGATTTCCACCCCTACCCACCAAACCAGGTCTACCCGGCAAGTCCTCAGATCCTGTGCACCTCGTCTCAAGCACCTTACCAGTCACTTCCCTTCCTGACTCAGGACCTTTGCACATGCTGGTCCCTCTGACTAGAGCCCCATTCCCTCCTCTGCCCAAGTGCCGCCTGCCCCAGGAAGCCATCCCAGATGCCACCTCTCGGGAAACACAGACAATACAGCAACTTCTCGACTTGGCCCCATACAGTTGCCCTTTCAGAACTGTCAGGAGCTACTGTTCTCAGCACAGTGCCTGGCACATCCCGGGGATGGGTTTGCTACCGTCTGAGGGGAGAGACCTCGGGGAGGTGGGCTCACAGCTGGAGAAAGCTCTTCCCAGGAAGGCCTGCAGATAGCAGGCAGCTGGCAGCCTGTGGGAGCGTGGGGGTGGCTGTGACTCACCCCAGCCCTGCAGGCCGAGAATGCTGCAGACAGGCTGATCGGGGTCAGAGGCCCACAGGAATTTTGATAAGGATAAGACCAGTGCTGGAGTATTTCTAGAATGCAGGAGGTTAGGGGAGTCAGGTCAGGACAGAACTGCCTGGTCGTGTTCCTTATTTATTTATTTTTCCCCTGGATGAAACATTCACACGGTTTGAAATTCAAGACGTGCAGAAGCGGGCACAGCAAGACATCCCCACACCCCTGCTCCCGCCACCTTTGCCCTCTCCCCGAAGCAGCCTGTGTCTTCACTTGCTAATGCCAACATACTTTTTGTATTATTTATTTATTTTGCCCACAGGATCTCACTGAGTTGTCCAGGCTGGCCTTGAACTTGAGATCTTCCTGCCTGAGCCTACTGAGTAGCTGGGGTTCTAGGTATACACCGCTGCACCCAATTCATATTCTTTTTTTTTTTGGTACCAGGGATTAACTCATGACCTTGCGCTTGCCAGGCAGGCGCTTATGCCGCTGAGCTAAACCCCCGGCCCCTGACTCCTGAATTCTTTTCTCTACATTTTAAAACGCGGAAGCATGTTACATGCTGTTACCCACCCTGGTTTTCTTTGTTAGCCTATCTTTACAGGGTGCCTGTGTCCACCCCCCATTTTTATAGGATGAAACGAGCCTCAGTGTGATGGTGAATCCGTCAGAGAGCTGATGGCTCTTGTGCCTTCTGCTGTCTACAGGGGCACAGAAAGGGCACCACCTGTAAGGCTGAGCCTGCCTGCATGTAGAATCTGTTGCTCACTTGGTCTCACACTTGCCAGACTCCAGAAAAATAAGTCACGATTTTTCTGTTGCTCATAAATTACCCAGTGTAAAGTATTTTGTTACAGCAGACAGGAAAAAGACAGAGCGCTCCCGTGGCAGCGTGTAGACAGTGTTCTCAGTGTTTCCTTTGACGGCGTTTCAAGGGCTGCCGGATAAAATATGGGTTACCCAGTCACATCTGAAGGATTTATATTTTCAGTGAGCAAACAGGCCATTTTTAGTATATATTTGTCCTATATGAGGATTTGGGACCGTCTTAGGCTGAAAAACTTGATTGTTTCTATAAAATTCAAACTTAGCCAGTCATCCTGTGTTCTTTCCTAGCTTTTTGCTTTCCATGAATCAGCCTCTGGGGACTTGGGGAATCAGGTGCTGCATCTGGGGTCCCCTCCTCACCCCTATTCTTTTTGCATGTGTGTGAGTGTCTGGAGCACCTGGGGTTGAACTTGGGGCCTTAAACATGCAAATCCCACTGTCTAGCACCAAGCCACCCCCAGGCAGCATTATCCCTTACAGGTTCTGGGATGCCAGGTTCTTCTTCACACTGAACTCTGTCCCCACTTTATTTCTTACTCTGAGACAGGAACACACTGAGTCAGTTGCTAAACTGCCCAGATTGGACATGAACTTGCAACTCTCCTTGCAACCTCCCATGGGATTACAGGTGTGCCCCTCCACACCCAGCTATCTCCCCTGAGGCTCAGACGGAACTCAGGAGAGGTCACACAGTAAATCCGGGCAGCTGGAGGTCGGCAGCAGCTATTGTGCAGCCTGAGCTTTTGGAGCAAGCACAGATACCTGGAGAGCACAGCAGAGGCTCTGAGTTCTCCTGTGGGGAGGGTGGTCCACTGCGCACCTGGGTGCCCAGCTTTCCAGCCAGGGTTACTCAGAGCGGGACTGAGCCCCTGAAGGCCTGGCTAACAGTGATGATGATGATGATGATGATGATAATTGAATAGTGGTGGTGCACATCTGTAACCTCAGCAAGTCGGAGGCTGAGGCAGGAGCCCTGCAAGTTTCAGCCCAGCTTGGGCAGTTTTTCTGAGAGGGCTGGGTGCAACTCATTGGTGAAGTGTTTGCCTAGCATACCTGAAGCCCCAGGTTCAATGAGAACTGGAGGAAGCCTGTAAAAACGAGACTGCCCACCTCTCAGGAAAGCAAATGCAAGAATGGACCCTTCCGGGCATGCCCTGACTTCAGAGCTGGCCAGCCCTGTCTCTTGCAGCTGCATAGTGAATACCTAAGCAAAGGCCCCGGGCTTTCTGTCCAGCATGAGCTCTGTGGGTGGTGCGGGGTGCGTGTGTGTGTGCGTGTGTGTGTGCGCTGTCCAGGTACCGAGAAGCCCACTTTCCCAGGTAACTCAAGTCTCCCTCATTTTCTTAAGAAGCCTTATGAATGTTGCATTTCACTCACCCATATATCTGCTTAATTGATTGATTTGGATATAAGGCCCTTGCCTGAGGTACATTAGCAGCCTTTTTCTTTCTTTCTTTCTCTTTTTCTATCGGTACCGGGGATCAAACTCATGACCGCCTGTTTGCAAGGCAGGTGCTTATGCCGCTGAGCTAAGTCCCCAGCCCCTTGCAGCCCTTCTCTTATTTTGAGCCAGGATGTCGCTAAATTGCTGAGTTGCTCAGACTGGGCTCAAATTTATGATCATCCTGCCTCAGCCTCCCTGAGTCCTGGGATCATGGCTGTGCACCAATTTGTTGTCTGGTTTTATTTTATTTTTTGTTTTGTTTTGTGTGTTTTTTTTGTTTTTGTTTTTGTTTTTTTCCTTTTTATCGGTACTGGGGATGGAACTCAGGACCGCCTGCTTGCAAGGCAGGCGCTTATGCCGCTGAGCTAAATCCCCAGCTCCTGTTTTGTCTGTTTTTTTTTTTTTTGTTTGTTTGTTTGTCTGTTTTTGGTTTTGGTTTTGGTGTTTGTGAGACAGAGTCTCTCTATGCTGTCTAAGCTGGCTTTGAACTTGTTATGTAGCCCCAGTTGGGCCTCTAACAAGGCAATCCTCCTGCCTCAGCCTCCTGAGTGCTGGGATTCAGCCCCTACCTGGTTTTAATATAACCAGTGCCCCCTCCAATAAGGGGTTTGAGGAAAACTGACCACAGAGAGAGGACACAGCTGTGGTACACCTGACAGTCACAGGTCCCCCAGTTCTCTGCAGAGGTCCCACGAGCCAGTCTTTCTTGATTTCTTTTTCAGTTCTTAATTCCATTCCTCACCATCCAGGGTCACCAGAGTCCTCTGCCCCAATCTCCTCAGGTCACCATTCTGTGTACCACAATCCAGACCTCAGTCAGGACCTCACCTGGGCTGGTGGACCATGCACCAAAAATGAGCGCGTGAATGAATGAAAGAATGAATGGGAAAGGGTGTGGGCCTGGGGGCTGTGGGGGGCAGAATAATGGGCCCAAAGATGTTCACAGCCGGGTTGGCTGTGGTGGCGGACTCTTGTGGTCCTAGCACTCTGGGAGGCTGAGGCAGGAGATCACAAGTTCTAGCAGGTTTGGGCAACTTAGGGACTCTTTTAAAATAAAAAAGGTGGAGCTGGGGATTTAGCTCAGTGGCATAAGCATCGGCCTGGCAAGTGCAAGGCCCTGAGTTTGATCCCTGGTACCAAAAGAAAAATGGATTAATTAAATTACATTAAAAAGGGCTGGAGATATAGCTCAGTGCAAAGGCCCTGGGTTCAATTTCCAATATGGAAAAAAATTTCACATTTCAATCCCTAAAACCTGCAAAAAGGCCACCTTGCACGATTATATGGGCAACGGGACTCTGCAGATACAGTTAAGCTAAAGGCCTAGGGCTGGGAAGGAACCCCAGCTGTGAACAGCAGCGTCAGCCCTGCTGTCCCTCGCTGGTCCCCCCTTCATACCTATTAGTCCTTTGCAGTAAATCTCTACATTACTGCCTCTGCCTGGGACCTCTATCACGAGTCCTATCTCTGCCTTTCTTTCTCTGTAACCTTTGGTTCTTCCTACTGAGTCAGGGGCCTCAGGGGCCAAGGGAAATCGGCTTCTGGAGGTGTCCTGGGGAGATCACTGAGAATGGGAGTGTGGTCGACAGAGGAAACCTAGGTCTCAGGAAGTCTAGCAGGCCCAAGGCTCGTTGCTTGGGACCTGTGTCCACACCTGGGTCCCCAGTGAAGGGAGACTGGCCCTGTCCCCAGGCAGCTGAGCAAACACAGGGGTGGGGGAAAAAGCAGCAGAGAGGCAGAGAGAGGGGAGACCCAGAGGCCAGGGCAGGGTAGGGCCCAGAGGCGGGAACACAGGTGAGGTCTTGAGGGACAGAGTGGATCCAGAAGTACTGGGAAAGCCAGATCGTATGACCCGCCCTGAGGACCCTGCAGAGAGCATGACACGGCCCCTGTCCTCCTTCTGCACCTAGTTAGTGCAGCTCCGGGTACTACTGGACAGATGGCCTGAGACTGGCCTGGCTGGTCACTAGAAGCCCTAAAGTAAGGCATTTGAGGAGAGGACACGTGATCCCCGCACCGGACAGGCGAGTCGGAAGCTGGAGAAGTGGCCTGGGAAGGAGGACCACCCGCCCACAGTCTAGGCCAGCAGCGGCCGAGGTCAGCACAGTCCTCTTGCCGCCTGCCCTCCGCCTTGTCTGCTCCAGGGAAAACTTTAAAAAGTCCTCCCTCCCTCACCCCGGTCATTAGAGTTGGGATCTCTGCCCAGCTTCCTGATTTCTTTTGTCCCCTTGGAATTCTTCTGCCCTATGGTTTTAGAAAACAAGTTGAACCTTTCCAGGGCTCCAGAGAGGAGGCCTGCACCCCACCCTGGCCCTCTGAGTGGTGGTAAAAATGCCTCACATTCCTGGGTTAAGAGGCTGGCTTTTTTTTTTTTAAACTGCTCAGCACTGGGATGACCCAGGGGAGCAATGGGAAGTGAGAAGGATCCCCTCACACGTCCTCAGCTCCCTGGCACCCCAGGACTGCGCAGGGCCAGCGGGCTGGCAGGAAAGGCCGGACCCCATGGGGACCCAGAGAAAGAGGTGCCAGAGCCCCTGAATGGTAAAGAGCACGTCCGCAGGGCTTCTGTGGGCACAGTGGTGGTGCCCGGCACCAGTCTCCAGGGTGGCCCCTCCGGGCGTCCTGTAGGATTCTTGTTAGAGGCCCCACAATGCTGAGCCTGGCCTGGCACCCAGCAGGTGCTGCGTAATGGTTCATGGCAGGATGGGTAAACTGCGTGAGGGGTAGATATGGGGTGTCAGATTTGATCTCTGGGAGGGGTGCTTCTGTGTTGGGGCTTCTGTGACCTGCTGCAGGCCAGACATCCAGACTCCAAGTGACTCCATTTACAGCCCTGTGACTGCATGGATCACAGATCACAGATGAAGGGGCCGCAGCCAGAGAGGGTAAGTAACTCACTCAAGGGCGCACAGCAGGTAAACGCAGGGGTCCGTGGGTATGTATGAGGAGTCTGGAATGCACCTCCTTTGGGAACGGGAAGTAGGAGCAAAGGCCTGGGTCGGGGCAGCCATGTGAGATCCTTGGGGAAACCAGAAGGCTCAGAGCTGTGAGGCTGCCTGGCAGGAGAGGGGCAAGACATCTGGGGACAGGCCGGCAGGCGCTGGGTTAAGTGGGGCCCAGAGGTCACGGTGAGGAGTTTGCACTTTGCTGTGTCAAATCTGTCAGACCTCTAGGTCGCATGTCCTTTGGAGAGATGCTTTGCTGCTAGCAGATTCCCGGGAACACTGCGTGCTGACCGCTGGTAAAGCCCTCGGGCAGTCAGATCGCAGGATGGCCCTGGTCCTCCTGGGGTCCAAGGTGCTCAGCCTGCTCTGGGACAGTGGACTGTTTGCTCAGTTTGCCCCCAGAAGTGCAATGGGATGGGTGCAGGGGCAGCAGTGACCTGGGCCAGGGCCAGGGCACCCCAGTCCTACCCAGATCTCAAGCTCTACTCTGCAAATTCGGAGACCCCAGGCAGTCTCTGGGGCACTCCTGTCCACCTGGAGTGACACTGGCTCAACACGACAACGGCCGCCTACTCAGCACTTGTGGCGGATGACCTTGGTGACTCAGCATCCAGCTGCTGGTCACACCCTTCTGTCACCATTTTCCCAGATGCTAGGAAAATGACAAAGACAGCCAAGCCTCCAAATCTGGGTGGCTCTTTAACATTCTGCAAAATGCGACTGCAAACCTGATTTGTCCTGATCCCCACACAAATCCAGAAGCCAGGTGGACACGATTTGTCCTCCTATTTAAAGATGAAGAAATGGAGAAGCCAAGTATAGAAGAGGCAGCTTGCTCAGGATTTGTTCACACTTGGGACCAAGTAAGACATTCACGGCAATTTTAGACCCTTTGTTTGGTCAGGTGCTGGCTTACTATCTTTTTTTTTTTTTTTTTTTTGACAGAGTTGATTTGTGGCCCAGATTGGGCTTAAACTTGGAACCCTTCTGGCTCCGCCTCCTGGGTGCTGGCATTACAGGTGTGCGACAGCTGTTTTTATCTCACTCTCAAAAGTATATGTTTGCAAACGTCAGCACCACTGATCTAGCTGGCTTAATCCAGAATCTTGATCAGAATCCTACTACACTTACTATGAAGACTACCACCGCCAGATAATAATAAAGAACAGCTCCAATTCCTATTCTGTGCCAGTACCTGTTCACGCTTTCCCCACATTATCTAATTTAGTCCTTGTGATCCTGAGGTAGGTGAGGCTGTTATGACTCCCGCACCCACACCTGGATTGGGGAGAGCTGGACATTGAACCTGAGCCCGGCCCATGCACACCCTGCCCCTGAGCAGCAACCTGGAGGCCTCCTGGCACCTGCTGCCCTGTTAACTCCTCCAGAGGCCAGGGCTCCGTCTGTTCCTCCGTGTCCTTGGCACTTCTTGCATGCACAGTGAGGGGGGCAGGTTCATTGAAATGAGTTAAGCTCCTCCATCTCATCTCTGCAGTGGCCTGGGAGGTCCCAAGAACTGTGACCAGCTGAAGAATGGGAGCTAGCGGGTCAGATCTGAGTTTGCATTGCAGTTTCTCTTCCTATGGGCGATGGTTGAGTGTGACCTTGCCCTTAATCTCCTCATTTGTAGAATGGGTTAACAACACTCAATACTCATTTTCCCCACTTGCAGGGTTGTTGGGAAGATTTAAACAAGTCTGGCTGCAGGATGTTAGGTAGGAAACCCCCCACCAAAATAAAACATTTGAGTTCTAGTCCTGGAACTTTATGAATGGTTTCAGGATCTTTAAGGAGGCAGCTGGAATCACGGTTGTCAATTAGCTGGCCTTAAACTAGGGAAATTTTCCTGGATCACCTGGGAGGCCCCTGGGTAATTTTATATGCATCCCTCACTGTAAGGGGGACAGAGGAGAGGCAGGGAGAGATGTGACCAGGACAGTGAGTCAGAGCAGAGGGAGATGGCTGCTTTGGTGGTGGACAAAGGACCACTAGCAGCTGGCCTTGAAGGGAGCAGTGGCTCAGAGGAGTTCAGAAAGAGCCAGCCCTGCCAACACCTGGGCTTCTTTGGACATCCTGAACTGTTCCTGATATCTGTGTCACTCGTAGCTGCCCTCATCCATAAATGTTGGTTCCCTCTCCCATGTCTGGCTCCTTTACACCCCTGTTGGCACCCACCAAATGACACAGCTCTTTTCCTTTACTTCTGAATTTCTGGTGCTCAGCATGGACCTCAAGGGTGCTAACTACTCTCTACGCCTGAGCTCCATGCCCTGGCCCTCTTCCCTCTGTTGCACGCGTGAGGAAACAGGCTGGGCGATGCTGGTGCACGCCCAAGGCCAGTGCACACGCTGGCCATGGATTCAGCCCAGACCTTTGACTCCGGACAGATGCTGCCCCACCTCTAATGGTCACCCGGGCTGGGCACAAACACTCAAGAGCCCTGTGTGCCAATGCGGGCGTGTTCTCCTCCCCTCATTAGTCCAGACACACACCCACGCGTGCACACACACCCACACCGCGCCTTTGCAGAGTCCCTGTCTCCCACCAGGCTCTAGTTCTTGTTGCCCGAACCTCAGTCCTTTGCCTTTATGTGCCCTTCTATCCTCCAGGACAGGGACAGTGGCTTTGGACATGCTCTGTTCCCAGAACTCAGTGCTTTGTGGAAAGGGGGTGGGGTGGGGGTAGGGCTCTCCTCTGCTGTTCACTCTCTTCCAGGTAAAGCCCCACAGGGCTGTCCTCAGAGCCCCTCAATAGTGAGACAGCACACTTCCTTGAGTCCCAGGCCCCTGTGCAGGCTTTGTGGACAGGAGGAGGAGGGAAGCCAGGTCCCCAAGGCCAGCTGATGGTCAGAGGGGAAAAGCATTTCCTGCAGATCCCCTGGGGAGCCTCCTAGAGAGGCCAGCACAGACTCAGTGCAGGCGGCAGGGCAGGAGAGGAAGAGGGTGGGGAGGGAGCAGGGGAAGCCGGAGGAGAGGAGGGAGCAGGGAGAGATGCTGAGATGCAGGGAGGAGAGAGAGAGATCCAAGGACAGCCAAGGTCAGAAGAATGGACAAAGTCAGAGGAAGGAGAGTGAGAAACAGGAGGCACAGTCAGAGACACAGAAAATCAGGAAGAGCGTGTGTGTGCGTATCAGAGAGAGAGAGACAGACAGACAGACTGGTGGGCAGCCAGAAAGACCCCTAGCGGCCTGCCCTGCCTCACAGTCTCTTGTGATGGTTCTGGGTGTTGTGAGCCCAGAGGCTGGAGTCTGTGGCACCACAGGTGGCCAGGTCACTTCACCTTCGGGCGTTCTGCCAGCCTGGCCACTCAGCCCAGAGGAGCTGGCCAAGCCCAGGGAGCGAGTGATCTGCTTTCCCAAGCCAGGAAAAAGGTCCCCTAGGGCTCTGGGAACTTGCCACAGAATCTTGGGAAAGTCCCTGGCCCAAGCTCCCCCAAACTCATCCAGAACTTCTTAGGGACCTTGATGGGTAGCTCTGGAACAGGGAACTTCTCCAGGGAAGTAACCAATCAACCCTTATGTCTTCTAGTGGACAGAGCTGGCCACTGGAATTCCAACCCAGACTAAAGCATCTAACTGCTGTGTGACCTGGGGCACATGACCTCCCCACTCTGAGCTTTTCATAGGCCAAAAGTGACTGAGATGGCTTTTGTGCTCACCCCTGTATACACCTGGAAAGAGACGGAAGGGCTCCACGGGTCCTTCCAAGTCTTTGGTGAGAGAGGAATTTACGGAGGGGACGAAGGACAACACATTGCATGCACAGTCTGCGCACAGAGTCACCCTCTCTGATCCCATGTGCTCCCTCCCAGCCGGCAGAGCGCTGCACCCTTTCCCCAGGTGCTGACATTAGGCTTCTCCGTCTCTGTGTCTCCCTCTCCCTTGCCCAGAACTTCTGGGGTCTGCGCTTGGATCTGCCAGCCGGCCCCAGGAAGCTGTTTGCATCTTTGCCCAGAATAAAGTTTCTGAACTCTCCTTGCCTGGCTCACACTTCCGCTCTACTTCCGGTGGGCTGGGTGGCCTTCCGGAACTGGCTTCCCCTCCATGTGCCTCGATTCTTCATCTATAAAATGGACTGATAGCCAGGCATGCTGGGGTACAGGTCGGTAACCCCACACTCTGGGAGGCTGAGGCAGGAGGAGGACTGAAAGCTCAAGCCCAGCCTGGGTAATTCAAACACAGAGCAAAACTCTGCTTCAAAATAAATAAAGAGAATGGGGGTGTCGTTTAGTGGAAGGCCCTGGGCTCATCCCAGGATTAAAAAGTAAAATGCTGATAATAACAGTGTCTCCCACAGAAAAGAGAACTGTGTTGATTCGTGGAAAGCGTTGAATGACAGTGCCAGGCAGGACACGTGCACTAATGTCCACCCCAGGACCCTCTAAGTCAACGTGACCCTCCTTAGGCCCTGACCTCTTAGCCGGAAGTGAGGGGCTGTAAATAACATTCTCTTCCCACCACAAGTAATTTTTCCTGTCACGTGTCAAAGACGCATCCGTTCCTTAGTTCCTTATGCTCTGTAGCTGCCTGACATTTCTGGAATCCCTTTCAGTATTTGGGAATGTCCCGCATGACAATTCCTGTTTCCCCTTTTGGTCCTCTCCAGGGAGCAGCCCCGAGCCCAGGTGACAGCGCTGAGGACATGGCTGCCAATGCGAGGGCCGTGCCAAGCCCCTTTGCTCGCTGAGGAGATGGTGGTGGCCTTGGCCTTCCTGGCCGCAGTGATGGACTGCTCAGGTGTCCTGGATGTGGCCCCACAGTCGCTCTCCCAGGCCCGAGTCACCATTCCTCCTGGTGGCTCCGTAATCTTTTTAATTTTTTTTTCTTGGTGAGACTAAAGGTTGAACCCAGGCTTTTCACAATGAGCTATATTCCCGACCCCTTTTTAAAAAACACTTTGAGACGAGTTCTCGCTAGATTGTTAAGTTGCCCAGGCTAGGCTAGAACTTGCAATCCTCCTGCCTCAGCCTTCCAGAGTACTGGGGTTATAGGCTTACACCAACTAATCTAGAATAGTTCAGTAAGTTTCTTCTTCTTCTTTTGTTTTATTTATTTATTTAGTACCGGGGATCGAACTCACAACCTTGTACCTGCTAGACAGGCACTTATGCCACTGAGCTAAACCCCTGGCCCCTGCTTATTGTTTTTTAAGACAAAATCTTGCTATGTACTTCAGTCCAGATTGGCCTCAGCTTCTAAAGTTCTGGTGTGTGCCACCAGGCCTGGCCTGTAATTTCCCCAATAGCCTTTATCAAGTGGTTCTCAAACTGTGTCCCATGACCGGCAACCAGCAACCAGTGGTTTGAAAGTATGTAAGAATACTATAAACTTGGGCACACCCGAGTCCGGCTGTCTTAGTGTGCTTCCTGTTGCTATCACAGGATACCTGAATAGTACCTGGGCTGTTTACAAATACCAGAGGTTTATTTTGGGTTTGTGGTTCTGGAAGCAGGGAGGTTAAAGGGTGTGGTGCTGGCATCTAGCAAGGGCCTTGTGCTGCTTCTGCTCATGGTAGAAAGAGGCAGAGCCAGCAGGAGCATGCAAGCAGGCAGGGTCAGGAAGAAGCAGGAGGGGTGCCGTGTGCCTCACACCAACCTGCTGGGAAAGGCACTAATCATTCTGGAGCCTCCCTGGGACCCAGAGGCCTGCACCTCCCGACTGTCACCTGGAGGAATTAAGCTTACAACACATGAACTTTTGCAGGACCCACTCAGACCATAGCACCTCCTGACACAGGAACTGTCACCAGATGTGCTGGCACAAATCTGTAATCCCAGTCAGTATTCTGGGAGGCTGAGGCAGGAGGATCACAAGTTCAGGCCCAGCCTGGGAAGCTTAGCAGGTTAATGACGCCCTGTCTCAAAATAAAAAATAGAAAAGGCTAAGGATGTAGTTCAGTCTGAAAGCCCTGAGTGCAGCCCCCCAGAAAGAAAAGAAAAGAAGAAAGAAAGAAAGAAAGAAAGAAAGAAAGAAAGAAAGAAAGAAAGAAAGAAAATTAAGCCTGGTACACATGGGGTGGGGTGTGGGCAGCTGTCTGTGTTTACCAAATCTCCAGGAGCTGTAGCTGCTCCCCCCACTTTGAGAACCACTTCTCTCTCCCCCGAGTCTCTTAACTGAAATGCTGCTTCTGTAGCCGCTGAAGGGAATTAATAGGACAGCGTACCCGAGAGTGCCCGCATACCTTGGTGCTCAGTGCCTGCTATGATTTGTGTAGATGTCCCCAAGCCTGCATGAGCTCCTAGGTGGTGGTTCGGGAGCTGACTGGATCATGGGAGTGGATACTCAGTGATGGATTCATCCATCCACAAGTTCCTGTGATGCTCAGAGGTGGAACCTGTCTAGAGAAGGCTGGCCCTGGGAGTGCGGCCTGCAGGGTCCATCTCCCTCTCTTCCCTTTGATCCCTTCCTCTGCTTCCTGCCTGCTATGCCAGGAGCAACCCTTTGCTGGGTCCCTCTGCTGCACCGCCCTGCCTTGGAGCCAGCTGACTATGGACTGGAATCTCTACCAGGGAGGATCCGGAAGAGAAAGAGCACAAAAGTAAAAACAAAATGAGAAAAGAAGGAAAAAATGGAAATAAGGCTTTTGTAAATGGGGAGGTTAGGAGGGGCTCAAGAGGGGAAAAAAGAATCAAGTTCTATCATGCACGGGTACAAACTCTCTTTGATGAGTGTGACTATTATTTACGTATACTAAAATCAATCAACAAAACTGGGTGAAAAAGAAATCCTCTACACACTGTAAGCCCAAATAAACCACTCCTCCTTTAACTGTGGGTGTCAGCTATCTTGTCCCAGTGAGGAGTAGAGTAAAATCATGCTGTGTGGTGAATTTCTTCAGTTTTAGCTGTCTCTTGGTAACATCTGCATTTGTCAGAAAGTAAACTTTTTGCGTTTGGTTTGGTTTGGATCCGTGCAGGATGCCTGACACAGCAGAAAGCTTGCAGGCAAGTGCTTGAAGTCCTGTCAAAGTGGCTCAGGCAAGAAGCTAGAGATGACAGGAGAGGATAGAAAGTGAGTGGGCGAGGGCTGAGGTGGGAAGAAACCACTGGGGCTTTAGTGGAAGGTGTCCTGGGAAGAGTGTTACCGAGTTGTATCTATGGAGAGGACTGCATTAATCAGGGCTTTTTTTTGCAATGGACAGAAACTCACTTAACTCAATAGGCTTAAGGAAACAATGGACTTCTTTGACTCACACTGGCATAATATCCGGAGTAGGTGTCAAGTTTCAGGCATGGCTAGATTAAGGTGCTAACGCAAGCAATATCATGGGGCCTTGCTCTCTACCATATCTCCATTCTGTTTTCCCTCATGTTTAGAGGGGTCTGTTCTGCATAATGGCCCAGAAATAAGGAGTTATATCTCATCATTCTAACAAACTCAGTCAGGGGTTAAATCCAATTGCACCAGTTTGGGTAATGTCCTCATCTTAGAATCCATGACTAATAGCCAGATAAAAAAAGAATTCTCATTGGCTGGATCCAGGGTCATGTGTCAAGCCCTAGACCCCCAGGGTAGAGTCTGGACCAGCAGTGGGGAGTGGCTCCTCATACGGAAGCCGGAACCGGAAGCAGGACCCGGAAGCCAGGTTGTGCTACAAGAAGAAAGGCAGAAAGCAGCCTGTCCTCCCTCTGCCAAAGACGACCTTGGTGAGAGTGTGGTGGTGAGCAGGAACCAGGACACCACAGAAGGACTCAGGCTTCCTACTCAGTGCTGCACAGCAAATCTCCATGCACAGCAGCTGAAAACAGGGCCATCACACTAAACGTTATCGCTAGCCCCTTGTTTAGTTTCTATTTCTATTTTGAAACAAGGTCTCACTAGATTGCTAAATTGCTGGGCTCCATTTGCAGTCCTCCTAGCTCAGCCTCCCAGAGTGCTGGGATTACAGGCATGCACCACCATGCCCAGCCTTATGCCCTTAGCTCTTGAGGGCAAGACCTCCTGTCTTATTGTTGGTGATTTTCCCCTAGCCGGCCTTGTTCCTGACATTCAGGAGGCCCTTCGCAATACTTGAGTGGATTGGATGGTTACACACGATGACCTATCCATACTCATGCACACATTTACCTGTTATTAATTCAACAAGAAATGGCTGCTTTTTCCTGACAGCAGGCCCTGTGCCAGGCTCTGGGCTACAGCTGGAGCAAAAACAGGATTTTGCCTTCAAGAAATCCTTGGAACGATAACATGCAGCTGAGCAGTACCATTGTTTATGGTTTGTGGTCTGTGAGGCCCTTTTCCATATCCTGCCCCGTGATCCTGGTGTGGTGCCAAGACTCACAAGCAGACTCCGAAGATGTCTGGGGCAATGAAGACCCTTGGGCGAGGCCCACAGGCGTCAGGAGCTGGACTCCCTCCCAGACTCCTTCCCAAGGACCACACTGCCCGGCATGCACTGGGCGCTGTCCTCAGGACACCACACACGGCTCCTTCTCCCATCTGGCTCCGAGTTTGGGAGGCCCTGCAGTGGCCCCTGTGCCATTGCAGTGTCCGCCTTGTCATTGTCCCTTGGGGCCCTGGGAGCTGGAGGTGACTGTGCTGCGTCTATTGTCTCCACCACAGGCCTGATAAAAAAGTGACCACAATCCTTTTTGGGCCACTTTGTTAGTCATAAAAAGGAATGTGGTGTCCGGTGAAAGGAGGAGATATGGAGAGAACCCTACCGAGGACCTTGGTCACCATGCAGGACATGTGGGGGTCCGCACCGACAGGCACCTGGGTTTGTGAGACTCCCTCCCTAGCTGTGCTTCACTCTGGTGCAACCCCTTCCTGATACAGAAGTCCTGGCATAACACAGTCGCACCCAGCACCTGCTCCGAGGGCTGCAGCTGGTGCCTGTTTTGCATCCAGGCTTCTCACTTGACTTCAAGGGCAGCAGACCTGGAGGATGAGTTTACCTCCTTCACCAGGCAGTTTAGGTAAAAGATGGGCTGGGGATACAAGGAGGAGCAGCCTGTGCTCTCCAGAAAGTTCCTGCTGCCGGCAACCTGAGCTCAGCCCTGCTGGGGAGCCCTGCAAGCCTGCAGAGAGCAGGCAGGTCCCAGTTATCCACCTATAGGCAAGGGAGAAGGGCATTGAAGGCCCACCTCCCTTCAGATAGCGCTGGCAGCAGCCTTTCTCTGGAAAATATCCTGGGTGCTGGCAGTAGGAAGCCTGACTGGGTTTCACTGTCAGCATCTTAAAGGATTTCGTTGTTAAGCACTTCAAAACTTATGACATAAGCCAAAGTCAAATTTCACAGATGCGTGATAGTCTTAGAGATGACAAGGGGTTTGCCTCAGGCTAAACAGCAAGTTAGGAAAAGAATCAGGGGAATCCAGAATCCACATCTCCAGCCTGGCAGTCCAGCAATGTAAAAGAAAAGGCAAATTTTTAAGATTTTGATTTAATCATAGACATAGGAAAGAGCAAAGTACAAAGTATGGGGTGATCCCCAGTGCTAACATCTTATACAACCATAGCAAGATACCAAACTGGAAAACTATTAAATACAATAAAGTGTAAAAAACAAAAACAAAAACAAAAAAACAATCTGGAAAACTTACAGTACAGTCCATGGAGCTTCTCCAGATTTTACCCATCATGCACTTGTCTGTGTGTGCACATGTGCATGTGAAGTTCTAAGCAATTTTATCGCCTGTGTCTCTTTATGTAGGCACCACCACATCCAAAATCCCAGACTGCACCATCACAAGGCTCTTGTTCATAGCCGCCACCTCCTAACCCCCATTCCTAACCCCTCCATGTCTCTCTATTCTCCATCTCTATGATAATGTTATTTCCTGAATTTTATGTAAATGGAGTCATATAGCAGTCATATAGCTCTAAATATTGGCTTGCTTCACTCAGTTTAATTTTTTTTAGGTTCATCCAAGGTGTGTGCATGCATAGTTGACTTCTTTTTATTGCTGAGTAGTATTGTGGTATAGCTGTATCATTGTTTAACCACTCATCTACTGAAGGAAATTTAACTAGTATTCAGCTATTACAATTAAAGCTCCTCTAGTCATTTATATATTAGTTGCTTTATCATGGTTGGCTGCTTGTTGACTCCCAAACATGTCTAAGTCCTAGTCCCTGTAAATATGATGTCTTACACAGCAAAAGGGACTGGGCAGAGATTGAATTATAGAAGTTACAGCTGGTACATGATTGGCCAAATAAAGACTACATTTCCCAGACTCCCTTGCAGCTATACATGGTTATGTGAAAAGGGTGACCGATGTGAGTGAAAATGAGGAACGATGACCTGGATTAGTAGTTACCTGTTACTGCCTGACAAATTCCCCCCAACTTAGCTTGAAACAGCAATAAACATTTATCATCTCACACAATTACAATGGGCCAGGAACTTAGGAGCAGTCCAGCTGGGTGGTCCTAGATCCATGCCTCATAAGGGTTGAGGAGCCAACCTTCCTGTTAGGGTGTGGATATTGGCTGGGTTTGCAGCTGTCTGCAGGCTGACTGGAGCTGCAGGATTTCCTTTCAAGGTGAGCCGCTCACATGCATGACTTAATGCTGGCCATCGGTGGGTAGCCTGAGCTCCTCGCTGCGTGGAGAGCCTCCCAGGACACCTTGCGTATACTTTCAGTATGGCAGCTGGTTTCCTCCAGAGCTCATGGTGCTAGAGAGAGCAAGGGGGGAACACGCAGTGTCTTTTATGACTCAGCTTTAGAAGTCACACTCTACTTTCTCCCCAAATGTTGTGGGGGATGAGGTGTCACTTTGTAGGCCCAACCCCCTCTAACCTGCAATTTACAATAGCCGCCCTGGTATGCGAGACGGAGGTAGAATAGGAATGCCTGTTCTCAGTGAGACCCCTCACCCTCTGGAATCCATACTGTGAGCTGGCTTTGTTTTGCAGAAGTCTTGAGGAAGTGGCTGGCCACCCTTTGTGACACTAACAGCAGACAAATTAACAACATTCTTGAGCTAATGAATTTCTTCCTGGGCTAGAGAAGTTATGAGAACTGGTTGTGATTATTTACTTCACTTAGATAGTTTTAGAATAAACATTGTAGTCTGTCACGTTGTAGCTTGCCACAAAGAATGCCTTTTCACTACTTAATTATCTGGGCTCTGTGAACTGATCGGGTTTACTATATATGAATCCTAAAATAAAGATTGTGCGTGCAGTGCAGTGTAACGCGGTGCAGACAGTAAAGGTGCCGTGTCCTGTCTTCCTTTCCGAGCACTGTACCCCCCGTGTCCCGATCAGGCGTGTGTGCGTGTTTACCTTTCCCGGAGTTCAGAGTGCTCTAAGACACTCACGACAAAATGTCCTGCTGGTTACCCGCGTCCCTTATTACCTGGTTTCCTTATCCAATGCAGAAGGGGATTCTCCAAGAGCATTGTGGTGATTAAGGTGGAGTTTCAGCCTCACTGGCGTTGAGATCTTCCCCAGATCTCAGTGGAGCACATTTCTAGGTGTGTCTGGGTGAGTCTTGCAGGCATGGCCTTGGGGCGCATATCTGGTCCCTCATCATTCCTACTCTGGCATTCTTGCCTCCCTCTTCCTGGCCACTGTGAACTAAATGGCTTTGCTCTGCCATGGTGACTCTGTGTGGGAGCCAGCTGATCATGGACTGAAACCATGAAAAAACTAAACTTTTTCTCCTTTAAATTGTGAGCCTCCCGTATTGTGTCCAACAGAGGGGAAAGCCAGCCAATCCAGGTAGGAACACCAAGAGTCAAGGGCCAGCAGAGAGCAATCTTGGAGGCTGGTTACTATAGGCCCTGGATAGCAAAGCTGTGTGCTGGCCGCTTCTCTGTCTCTTCCCTGTGCCCTGATGCAAGTAGATTGCCATTTTGTGGTTTAAGAACCCAGGCATAAAACAACCCTCTGGGTCTGGCTGAACAACAAGACAAAAGGATGCCGGGAGCCCAGCACTGCAGATCTGCCTGAAGCCTTGAAGCACGCGCCAGGCTGCGGGGTGGGGGAGGAGCGCACAGCTGCTTCACTGAAGCAAGGACTTTCCACGCCCGGTCAGCAGCCTCATCCGTCCTGCGCAGAGGCAGTGAGCCCTGTATGCCCGGGCCCAGCTCCTTCCCCGGGTCCCTGTGAGGTTGGCTGGGGAGAAGGTGGTGTTGGATGTCGTTAGCTTGTTTTTGGTGGGGGCAATGTTAGGAGCTGACCCGAGGGCCTGGCTCTGCCATCGCTGTGTGCTCTCCACCCTCCCCTCTCTGCAATGGCCCCGGGAGTCTGGAGGACAGGACAGCAACCCTAATCAACTCCATCTTCACCTACCAAAGGGCCCCACCCTGCCCCTACCCAGCACTGGCCCCATTAAAAGCACCGCTCCTTTCCTTTAAAGCTTTCTAAAGCTGTAGGATTCTAAACTGCCCCAGGAGGCAGAGTCCTCCAACCATTAGCATGGCCCTATAGGAAAACTTCTGGTTTTTCTTAGTCATCTGCTTAGATGTACTTACAAAGTCGTCTCCTACCTACTTATTTGCTCATTGAACCTGAACACAACTCTGTGAGATCCATTTTCCAGATGAGGAAAGTCAGGCTGAAATCTAGGCGATAGGGGAAAGTACATGGAATTGTTGGTTTTATTTATTCCTTGGATTATTGGTGCTTTTTCCTCCTCTCTGCCCCATCACTCTGCTTTGGATTTGCATCTCTCATGAGCCTCAGGCCCCTTAAGGGCAGAGGCTGTCTCTGGTTAGTTAGTGGTCCCTCTGTGTTCAGTTTGTTGACTGAATGAATGACAGTATACAGGTAACTAAGTCCCAAGAGGATCCTATGGGACCCAGAGACATGAGATCACAGGAATAGTGACACACTTTCCTGGCCAAGGAAGACCAGGCTGCCAGACTCCTGGCTCTCCTTGGAACCAAGCCTGGGTGTTTCAAAGCCAGGATGCTCTGAGGACTTACTATATGAAGAGTGACATCTTAAGAATTTTCCATATGTTAGTTCAGGTACTGTGAGAGAGAAGCTATTACTGTGTCCACTTTACAGATGAGGAAACTGAGGTTTCCAGCAGAAAAACACCTCCAGGGCTCTTGACAGTGCATGGTTCTCTTGAAGCCTCCAATGAGACTTGGTTGGAGCAGTACAGAGGCATGTGGCTTCTCTTTTATCCCAAATTTCAAGTCATGTGATCAGCACATGGGAAAGATTGGTTCAGGCCAACCTCCCAGTGGCAGATGTGCTGGGCCCCTTTGACAGTTGAGCCTGCCTAGGGGACTCTGCCTGGTGGCTCCTGCCAAAGCCTCGTGGGTCTAAGGGGAGCCCGTGCTTCCTAGATGAACAGACCCCAACTCTGCATCCGAATGGCTGTTCCTCTGCTCTGTGGGAACTGTTACCCTCTCACATTCCCTCCAGTGACCCCTGGGAGTTGCTAGGGAATTTCCACTTGGCCTGTGGCTTTCTGAGACATTCGTGGAACTGCTCTTCCTATGTTTTCTCACTCCTGAGGGCATCTCTGCTTCCCCCAGGCGTCCAGCTCAGGTTCAGGAGGGTTATGAAGTAAGCGAGCCATGTATTCCAAGGTTAGGTTGAGGCACCTACCACACAGAGGGGCTGAGCAGGACATGGGACACGGCTGTGCCTTCTGCATGGACCTACTGTTCCCAAAGACCTACAACCCAGCAGGGAAGACAGAGCTAAGCTAGCATTATTAAAACTGCAAGATGCAGCTTCATACTCATCATAAATGAGAAGGGACAGTACTCACAAGTGCTGGTGACAATATGGGGAAATGAGTGGCTTCAAGCACTGCTGTGGACATGGGAATTGACCCAGCCATTCTGCAAAGCCACTGACTGGTATTTGATAAAATTGAGCATGCGCATGTCTCGTGGCCCAAAATCGTACTCCTGGAGACCAGCCCAGAGGAGTGGGCTGAGAAATCCTGAGAGGTGGGCAGGGAGAGCAGCCATAGCACATCAGTGGAGCGGATCTATGACAGGAGACTTGGGGTTGCAGCAAGAAATAGCTGGATGTCCTCACAGCCATGAGCCTAGGCCACACAGAAAGTAGTGGTCAGGATGAGAGTTTTTGGGAAACAAAACACAGGCAAGAAATCCATAAAAGAAAATGTTCAAAGTCCACACATTTTCAGGGAGGTGACGGTGACTGGAGATGGGGAGGAGGAGGAAGATGGAGTAAACAGGAAAGGGGATGTGCATATACTGCCGAGATCATCAGATGCCCTGCACCGTGAAAGCTATGTTGACTCAACTCTGTGCACCTGGAGGTCCTCAGAAGTTAAGTATAAACAAGTAACTGTACAGCACTCACAAGTAACTAAGCCTTGCTGAGCCAGTCCAAGGGTCACTCCAGGCTGTGTGTTCATAAATCCAAGATCTCCCTCTGGCTTTTGCCCAGTGGCTCCAAACCAGCCTTCCATGTTTGGACTCTCTTTTACCTTCCGGTGAGTTATTTCCCAGAAGTCTCCTCTCCCCGGGTAGATAGGCCCATGGCAGAGGCCCCAGCACGCAGTCTTGTCTGAATCCCACATAGATGAAGGCTCCAGGGGAGGCCCCAGCTGTATCCACGCCACCAGCCCGTCCTCACATTTACTTTGTGAGATCTAGAGGGCGGACACTTGCTCTCGGGCACCAGGGTACTGATGGTGATAAAGGCCACCAGAGGAGATTAAGATGTGGCAGATACTATTCCATATCTCAGCCCACTGAAATCCATTTAATCTCACAGAGGCATACGGTATCGACCAGGCCATCACAGTGTGCCCAGGAAAGAAGTAGGCCAGCACTATGCTACAGTCTGATTTGGCTTATTTAAATAGAGGTCTGGGTCAAATGGCTAGACTTGGCCCAGGTTATATATACACCAGGCACTTTTTTTTGAAGACAGGTTCTCGCTATATAGTTCAGTCGGACCTTGAACTCATTATGTAGCCCAGGCTGGCCTCAGGGCAACCCTCCTGCCTCAGCCTCCTGCGTGCTGGGATTATAGGGATGTGCCACCATGCCTGGCTCCAGACACATTTTATTTTTTATTTTTTCTGCTGTTAGGGATAGAACAGGACCTCATGCATAGTAGGCAAGCCGTCTACTACGGAGCTCATCCCCAGTCCCAGATCACACATCTTGGATGAAAGGGCACTGCTTCCCCTTAAAGGAGGGGGGAGGCATTGCCCTAAAAAAAGTTTGCTGCTCACTTTTTCCCCTCCTTTTGCCTAACAATCTCTAGACTCATCTGACTCCAAAATGACGCTATTTCCAGGGGACCTGAAATACCACTGTGATCCACACAGCAGTTAGAGTAGGGGCTAATGGAGATCAGATGTCCAATGGGTCCCCAGCCCATCCTGAGGTCCTGTCTCCAGCTTTAGAACGCATAACTGGAGCCGATGCACGCAGTCACAGGCAGGCAGAGCCCTTGTGAGGCAGACACAGCTATCCCTGTCCCATGTCAGGGAGACAGACAGACAGACAGGCAGGCAGGTAGGCAGAGGCAGCCCTGGAGGTGCAGGAGATTCATGACTTTACTCACAGCCATGCTACTGGAAGCTGGACTCCAAACTCCATGTCCCTAACTGTGACACTTACTGACCTTAAGTCCTTGCTGTTCAACGCGGACAAGCAGCACACAGATCACTGCAAGACACAGTAGAGTGGCAGTGAGAGAGGCTGAGACAAATGGGGTGGCAGATGGTGTCAGCAAAGTGGCCCCAGTCTGGCAATGCCTCAGCAGTTCAAAAGATGAGCCAGAGTGGACAAAGGTGCTCCGCCCAGGCAGGGAGGCAGAGGCAGGGAGAGGCAGAGACCTGAGGCTCAGGCTGTCTGAAGAGAGATCACAGACAGGACGGGAACACACCGGGGCACCAGGGAGGGCCTGGCGGGGGCTCCCGCTGGCAGGGTCCTGGTCCTGCCTGGGTCTGGGCCTTCCCCTGCCAGTGCCACTGGTGCCTTCCATCCAGAACACCCACAGACATGTTTCCACACAAGTCCCTGCGGTCGGTGTGTAGCAATGACTTTCATCTCTGAGCAAACCCCCTTTGGGTTTCTGCTTCTTCTTTGTTTATCATTCTGAGCATCTCCCTGACCCACAGCGCAGCCCCGGAAGGAGGGAAGGCAGAGGCTCTTCGGCAAACAGAGGAGGCTGGGCAGCTTTCGCTAAGGACAGGAGCCAGCACATGCCCTGGGTGGGGGGGAGGGCCAAACATGCACGGTGCGTCCTTCCGTGCTCTCTCTCACTTCTGTCTGGCGAATAGGCAGGCATTTACCCACAGAATGGTGAATGAACCGGCTCAAAGTCGCACAGTAGCATGCAGATCAAAACCCTGGCTGGCTGGCTTTCTGTCCTTTCTCCTGCTCCACTCTGAGAGTCTTGGAGCACAGAATACCCAGGACCTTTAGGTTGGTGGAACTGGCGAAGCAAGATTAAAACCCTGGAGAAGAGAGAGTCTTTGGTACCCTTCTCCTGCCCAGTCTTGCTCCAAAGTGCCGGGCATGGAGGTTCTAATAGCTCACTGTCCCGGGCAGTGCTGCGTGCAGAGCCCTGGGTCTGTAGGAAGCTGTTTAAGCCTCACCCCTGTTCTGCTGCGGTAGGCACTGTTGTTATCTTCACTTTATTAGGGAAAAGGGGAAGCAAATTAATCAAATTCACAGGGCCCACGAGTGGTGGAGTTGGGTTTGAGAATAGGTAATGTCCAAGCACCCTTTTTTCCCTTGATTTTTTTGTCTTTTTGAAACAGGGTCTCTTTATGCAGTCCAGGCTGGCCTTGAACTCACCTTGTAGCCCAGGCTGGTCTTGAACTTGCAAGGATCCTCCTGCCTCAGCCTCCTAAGTGCTGGGATTGATTGCAGGCATGTGCCACCACGCCCGGCTAAGTACCATTTTTTAAAAAAATTAATTGTGATAAAATACACTTAAAACATTTTTCATTTTAATCTTTTTTGTGTGTAGTGCTAAGAATTGAGCCCAGGATTGCTGTGTCACGGAACTACAATCCCAGTCTTTTTGGTATTTTTATGTCCAGGCTGGTCTTTAACTTGCCTTCCTCCTTCCTCAGCCTCCCCAGGACGGGGATCACAGGCATGCAACCCCACATCCACCTCTTAACCATCTCTGAAGCATTCAGCTGCGATGAGACATTAGGACATTCGTACAATTATGCAATCATCCCCATCATCCTCCAGAAGATTTTCCAGCTTACAAACAGAAACTCTGTATCCAGTGGACAGTAAATTCCTTCCTTCCCTGCAGCCGTGTGAGCCGACCACAGTGCTTACAGCTGTACCCCGGCAGGCACTTAACACGACATGCTGACTGCGACGCCGGGCAGAGCAGAACCCCGTGAAAGCAGTCAGCAGGGCACCCAGCACCCAGTCAAGGGTCCAAGTGTCCAGCTAAGCTTAGCTGTGTTACTTCCTGGGTGTCCTAAGCAAGTGTGCTCCCTCCTTAGCCTCAGTTTCCTCATTAGTCCAAGATAATTACGGGTTACTTTCCAGGGAAGGCATCAAGGGAGACCCCGAACGTCTAAGATGCTACTCTCCCGCAGATCCTCAAGGGACCCTGCCGTGCAGACGGGATGAGCCTGGGCAGGCCGAGAAGAGACACAGGTGCTAATGACAGGTGTAAGAGCCCTGGTTAGCCGGGCGTGGTGGTGCATGTCTGTAATCCTAGTACTCTGCCAGGATGCAGCAGGATGATCAAATGTTTGAGCCCAGCCTGGGTAATTTAGCAGGACCCTGCCTCAAAATAAAAGAAGATGTGCTGAGGATGCTCAGTGCAAAGGTCCTGGGTTCAGTCCCCAGTTTGGTCCGAGCTCCATTATTTGCTCTTTGTGGCTAACAAGTCATCTCCCTTTCTGAGCTTCAGTTTCTGCATTTGTAAAAGGGAGCTTCACTATATCAGTGGATCCCAAACTTGACAGCAGCTAGAATTGCCTGGTGAGCTTTCAAAAATGTAGATTCCCTGCTCTCATCCTAGATACTCAGTAGGAATGGAGTAGGACCAAGGGCTCTGTGCTTCCAGCAATACTCCCAGAGGCTCCCATCTGTTACATTTCTGGAGTTCACTGGAGGAGATGACTGTGAGGTTCCTCCGGTTCTCATGTCCCTGAGTCTAGAGTCAGTTAATGTAGTGGCCAGGCTGAGCAGAGAGACTGTGGCAGACACATGTCCACCCAATACTCCTCTGATGCCCAGCACAGCCCCTATGCTTCCCCTTGGGCGGGACTCTGCTGGGTCCCAGCCAATGAGATGTGGGTGAAAGTGACATGCGTCACTTCCAGGACCCCACAGCCCTGCCTCTTTTCCTCTGCCCTGATGAATGCTCTGTGCACAGCCTGATCCTGTAGGGCACTGCCACACACAGGACAGGTATGACAGCCACAGGAGAGGCCTAGGTTTTGCATCCCTCCAAGTCTTGTCCAGGGGATAGGGTCTCTGATGTGGAGTGTGGTCAGGCTCAGACTGAGGCCTGGGAGAGTGAGCAGAGGGCTGTCCAAGGCCAGGGGCCTCGTGGGGAGGCTGGAGAAGCCTAGCAGTGGATTGGCTGGCTGGCCAGAGCAGTGCATTTCCATGTGAGGCACCAGAATAAGCAGAGAGCTATGGCTCCCTGGTGCATGGTGAGCCCAGCGGGGAGGGGTGACTCACCCTGAGTCCCTGAATAGCGCTGATGGTAAGGGAAATCCATCCCCACCGCTTCCCAACTGAGGCTGTTTCCTTCCCTAGACCATGACTTCAGAGTGGCTTTGAGAATGTTTATACCAGTGGATGTTTACACCTCCATTCAGCGGTGACCTTTGTTGAGGTTTGGAATTCTTCCTTGTTGATCTTAAAAAAAAAAAAAAAATATGACTCCAACTTTCCATGGTCAATTCCAGCACAAGTGGACAATAGGTTATAAACCGCATGTGGCCCTCTTGAGCCAAGGCGAAGCCTCGGCCCATTTTAAAATCTGAAGTGCTATTATCTATTGGTTTATTATAGTATACAATTTAAACTTAAATTTTATGCATTTGAAAAACAAAACATTACCATAACAAAAATCCAGAAGGTACAGAAGGAGACAGAGCTCCAGTGAGCTCCTTCCCACAGCCCCAGTGCCTGGCTTCCCCTCTCTGGTCAACACTTGCAAGTTTCTCTTGTCTTGCCAGAGATCTCTCCACCAGGGGCCGGCCAGCTTTACTGGAAGGGCCAGAAAGTCAGCATTTTAGACTTTTGGGTCCAAGTCTTTGATACAAATGCTTATTTTTGCCTTTGCAGCTTCAAAGGCAATGTATAAACTCCGAAGCCTGGCTCTGACCCAGTGAAACCTGACTCACAGGCACTGACGTTTGCCCACTGTATCATACTCCCTTTTTGATTTTTTCCAACCACTTAAAAATGTGAAAAGTGGGCAGGGTGCTCTGTGCCTCGGTTCCAGTTATTTGGGAGGTTGACAGAGGAAGATCACAGAAGCCTGGGAGTTTGAGATCAGTCTCGGCAACACGGCAAGGTCATGTCTTTTTTAAAAAAGAAAAAAAAGCGAAAGCCATTCTTAGCTCAAAACTGATGGAAGGCAGAATTTGCTGTTTGCTGATATACCCTCACACGTACACAAATTTGTATTTAATTTTTTTTTTTTTTTGTATTTTTCCTTTTTATCGGTACCAGGGATCGAACTCACAACTGCGTGCTTGCAAGGCAGGCGCTTATGTCGCTGAGCTAAACCTCCAGCCCCCACAAATTTGTATTTGAAAATTTTATATAGTGCTGTAATTTTTTCTGTTGTCTCAGTAGTTAGGGTATCAGGATATTCCTTTGGGCAGGACATGAACAACAGGCATGCAAATTCACATTTTAGTTTGCACAAGATTCTGAGCACTTGCAAATTCCCCAGGTTACCCAAATTGTAAAAACAATAATTTTGATTCACATTGGGTTTTTCTCTTTTTTTCTGTTCATATAATTCTTTTTTTAAAATTAAAAATAAAAGACAAAAAAAAACACCCCAAATTACTTTGATTAAAATGTGAATTGCACCTTTTTTTTTTTCTTGAGCCAGGGACTCCCTGTGTGGTTCAGGCTGGCCTTGGGCTCACTTTGTAGCCCAGGCTGGTACTGGACTCCAAACAATCCTCCCACCTCAGCATCCCAAGTGCTGGGATTTCAGGAGTGTGCCAACACATCTGGCTTTTTTTTCTGGTACCAGGGATCAAACTCACAACCTCAAACTTGTCAGGCAGGTGCTTATGATGCTGAGCTAAAGCCCTGGTAGTGCCTTCTTTTTTCTTACCCTCCTTTTGATACTGGGGCTGAAACCCAGGGCCTTGTACATGTAAAACAAACACATTACCACTGAACTACTTCTCCACCCCTCTGCTGCTGTGTCTAAAAATTGGGGTTTGTTCTGTTTTATCATCAGTTTGGCAAAACTCTGTATTTTAGTAACACCAATCTTTATGGCTGCTGACATGGATTTTTGCCTAGTTTCAAAATGACTGACAAATGATTCTGAAGTTTACTTGGCAGGAAGAAAATTCTGAGAGATAAAAATTAATGGAGAAAGAGCATTTCCTCTCTGATATTAAAATGTATTATAGAGCTGGGTGTGGTGGCTCACACTTGTAATCCCAGCACTTGGGAGGCTGAGGCAAGGGAATCTTTGCAAATTTAGGACTAGCCTGGGCTACGAAATGAGCCTAAGGCCAGCCTGAACTGCATATGGAGACCTTGTCTCAAAAAGACAAATAAATCAATAAAAAGTATTACAAAGCTACAATGATTAAAATCTTGTTTCCTTTTTCTTTTTTAAAAAAGAAAATGTCCTGCCAGCCTGTTGGATACAGTGCCCAACACTCAGTAGGGGGTAATGATTTCTAGTTAATGAACCGCGGATGGAGGTTCTCCTTCATTTACACCATCTTCAAAATGTGTGTGTGTGGGGGGGGGGGGATTTAGCTCAGCGGCATAAGCGCCTGCCTAGCAAGCAGGCACTCGTGAGTTCGATCCCTGGTACCGATAAAAAGGAAAAAAGACCAAAAAAAAAAAAAAAAAATGTGTGTGGAAATATAATCTTAACACTAATGAGTAGGAATTACAAGAAAACAGAATCCAGAGTAATTTAAAGACATTTTTCTAATAATAATAACCTATTAAAGTGTACTGTGCACCGGACATAGACCATCTGACTAATTCCTACACTAATTCATAGACCATCTGGCTGCATAGGTGCTGTGTTACAGGGGAGGAAAGGGCCCCTTCAGCAAGTGAAATAACTTGCTCAAGGTCACACAGTAAGTAAAAGGCAGAGCCAAGACCAATGTCGTGCTTTTTCCAGTGCGCTGACTGCGTCACCATGTAACTAACATTGGTGTAATGTTTGTCTGTTTACAAATCTGCGTCATAACTCATTTAAGACTCATGACAACTTCTTATATCTAGAAGACAGATGACCAACTGAGATTCCAGGAGTCCCCTTGCTCCCAATTCTCACAGGTGCCCTGGCCCTGTGCCAGAGGCATTTATAAACCCTAACTGGGTTAATCCTAATAGCACAAGTAATTCTTTAGCATTGAAGAAAGCAAGATTCAGATGAAATGCTATTTGCCTGAGATCATACTGTGAGCAACTGGAAAAACCGGCGTTTGAATCCTGGTTTACTTAATCCTAAAGAGATTTTGTTTGTGGTTGGTTTATTTTGTTTTTGCGGTGATGGGGGTTTAACCCAGAACCCTGCATATGTTAGGCAAGCACCTAGCGCAGATAGTCTTCAAAGGCGGGCATTCCTGACTTTCCATTTGACTAACTAAGCGATCTTCACACAGGAGCTGTTAGGGTAGAGTTAATATTCGCATTTTCCAGGTGCAGAAACTGAGGCTTCGAAGCCACATGACTAACAAATGGGAGAGCCAAGACGGTGACTGGCTCTCCTCCCAGGGGCTTTGCACACACCCAGTAGCCAGACCTGGGCGCTCCTGATGAAGTTGCGCCTTTTTCTCTGGTCGGCAGGAAGTCTACCGGTGGTAGTTTTTCTGTGTTCACTTAGGAATAACTCAGAGGACGTCAGGAGAAACGGAGTGTAGCAATCCTCCAAGCCTAGTCTCTAGGATTCCGGTATCTGCAGGCTGATTTCAAAAATCTGTAGAGGGCCATCTCTATTTCTCCAGCTCCTGCAGTTCAAAGTCCTTTTTTCAGGGCAAAAATGTTGCAGACGTTGACGAGTTTACTTACAATGGGAACCTGCCGGACCTGCTGAGCCGCCACAACTATTGGTTGTTGTGAGGGGGCGGGGATTCGTGCTAATTTGCATACACACGTTCGATTGGCTTAAGGGAAAGAAGTGGGCGGGCTCCACCAAAGAAGTGGGCGGGCGCTCACCTGTCAGTGGGTGGAGCGCGTAGGACTTCCGGCGTTGGCAAGGCGGAGCCGTGCTACCTGGCAGCTTCCGGGCACCCGGGCAGAAGTGGGAATCGCCTGCACCCTGGGTCCAGCCGCTGCGCTGTTGCAGTCGCCTTGTAACTGTGACTGGCTAGAGCAGGGGACGAAGCGCAGTCATTTGCTTGTTTCTGGGAAAGGGCAAATTCCCCTGTGGTAGAAAGGCAGGGAAGGTAGGAGTGGGAGGAGGGAGACTTTCATTGTAAATCCTTTTATGCTCAGACTGTGAGTCACGAGGCCCTATTAAAACACATAAAAAGGCCAGCGTGGTGGCGCACACCTGTAATTCCAGCATTCTCCAAGGCTGAGGTAGGAGGGTCGAAAATTTGAGTCCAGGAGCTGGGGGTTTAGCTCAGCGGCATAAGCGCCTGCCTTGAAAGCAGGCAGTCGTGAGTTCGATCCCCGGTACCGATAAAAAGGAAAAAGACCAAAAAAAAAAAGAAAAGAAAATTTGAGTCCAGCCTAGATAATGTAGCAAGACTCTTGTCTCAACATGAAAAATAAAAAAAGATCAGTGTGAAGACCCTGGGTCCAATCCCCAGTGTGTGTGTACATATGTGTATGTACTGGTTCTTTGTCAGTGCACCTCTAGGCCCTGGGAATAGGTCAAGAGCCAGCCCTGAACGTTCCTTCCTGCTCGAGCTGAAATTTTAATGAAGACAAAATGCAAGGAAGCCAAAAAAGACTTACCAAGCAGTGACCCAGGCTCTAAAACTAAAGCCAAGGCCGGGAAAGGGTCTGCCTTGGAGAGGGCTGCTTGTCTTTGGATTAGGGGGCTAGAGATGGCTTCCTGGAGGAGGTGGCATTTAGGGGCCACCCCACTGAAGTGAGGGAGGGTTCCCAGAAGTACCTGGGACAGGAGTGTTCCTGGCTGAGGGAGAACAGGAGAAACAGCCACTGTGCAGTCTCAGAAAGTGAACACAATAAAATGGAGCAATCGAGGGCAACAGCAGAAATGGTCATGGGTCCAAGACACAGTGGGGTGGCCACGCTGGCCTTTGCCCAGGTATCTGACTGTGGCTACTCCCAGTGAGCTGGTCTTGTCTAGGGAGGTGACACAGGGTTGCAGAAAACAAAACAAAACCTGATTCTGCATTTAGGTCCTGGTTTGAGCTATTGTTGGTGTGGTCTTAGGAGCCATCCAGTGAGCCGTAAGCTTTGTCCCTATGAGACAGGCAGGATAACACTGCCCACCTTGCTGGAGAGCTCTGTGGGCTGCAGTGTTGAGAGCCTCTCTTTCCTGAGCGTCTTTGCCACGCCAGAGGTCCTGTGCTAAGCTCTTTGTGTATGGATATGTCTTCCTAAAACATTTTGAGGGGGGCTCTGGGAGGAAAACAACATTAACAACAGCAGCAACAAAATTTTGAGGTATGTCTGGTGGCTTATAGAAGTTCAGTAATTTGCCAAAAGCTGCAGCCAGTAGATTTCCACCAATGTGCCACAAAGTCAGCATCAGGGTCCGTATTTTAAAAAATGAAATAGAGGGCCTGGGGTTTAGCTCAGCGGCATAAGCACCTGCCTTGCAAGCAGGCAGTCATGAGTTCGATCCCCGGTACTGATAAAAACGAGAAAGACCAAAAAAAAAAAGAAATAGAAGAGTACTTTGGGAAAAACTTGTTTCATGTATGTGTCTTTATTATAAAATATATTTCTTACAGTAAGTTGGGAGTTAATTAAACATGGCTGGGTGTGGTAGTGCCTATAATCTCAGCACTTGAGAGACTGGGACCCCAGGATCATTGACAGTTCAAGGGCCATCTTGGCTACCAAGTGAGTTCAAATCCAGCCTAAACTGCATAGTGAAACCTCTTCTCAAAAGGGCAAAAATGAACAAACAAATAAACAGAAAACCTTGGCTGGGTATAGTAGCTCACACCTACAATCCCAGCACCCAGGAGGCTGAGGCAGGAGGATCACTGCAAATTTGAGGCCAGCCTGACCCAAGCAAGACTGTATCTCAAAACAAAATATAAACCCTCAAAAAGTATTCTTTTAGGGCACTACTATGTGTCAAGTACCCCCTGAAGAGCCCATCACACTGGTTTTTGCTGAGGCTGCAGTTGAAATGTAACCTATCAGTACTTGTGGAATCTCTAGTGGTGCTGAGCCCTTGGGACATTTCCACAGTGGGCGGATACCATCAACAAATTAGATGGTAGCTAGATAGGTAGTTCTTATTACAGTGGCTTTTTTATTTTTTATTTTGGTACCAGGGATCGAACTCCCAACATCATGCTTGACAAGCAGGTACTTATGCTTGCTGAGCTAAATCCCCGGCTACTGTGGCTGTTTTTATTATTATTATTAAGGTCCTAAAAAATCAACCCCAGCCTTGACCATCCTGCCTTTTGGCTCTGAGGCCAAATTCCTACCAACCACACCCAGCTCTGAGCTAAAAAACAGTAGGAGAATTGCTAGGAATGCTAGGTGTGGTGGTGCATACCAATAATCCCAGCATCTGGGAGGCTGAAACAGGAGGATCACTGTTTGAGGCCAGCCTGGGATATATAATGAGTTCAAGGCCAGCCTGAACTATATGGCGAGACCATGTCTAAAAAACAGAAAACAAAACAAAACAAAAAAATAGAATTGTGAGGAAGGTGGCCCCTGGGTAAATCTTGAAACCTTTCTGTTCAGCTACTAGGGACTGACATCAAGGCTGTTTAAGGACTACAGAATAAGTCATCTTGATACCTGTGAGGGGCTGGGTCCGACACAGTCGAATCTTAAGATTTTTGAGAATTCTGAGACAGGGTGTCAGTAAATTGCTAAATTGCCCAAACTGGGCTCAAACTTGCAACCCTCCTGCCTCAGCCTCCCAGGATGCTGGGATCACAGATGTGTACCAGCAACACCTAGCTCATACTTTAAATGACTTCCAGTTCACTTATAATACCTAATACAAAGTCAATGCCATGACTTTGTTGTATAATAGTTAGGGAATAGGAAGTCTCTCCAGGTTTAGTATGACACAGTTTTTTGCAGGCTGTTTTGATCCTCCACTGAATCCCCACGGTTGCAGAATGGAGGCTATGAGAACTGACTGTATATGGAAATGTTTTTAGAAAAATGTCTGGCATGCCTTCCATGCCCTATAAACATGAGCTGCTATTGTCTTTCCAAAGTCCCTAGGCAGCCTATAGGCTCAGGAGGCATCTCAGCCCAGGGGCGCTGTAGATCTAGACTCTGGCTTTTCCAGGCGGGCTGCCTCTGTCCCGGGCTCTTGGCTCCTGCAGTTTGCCCTGTTCACAAGGGGGCTCAGCCTACAGCCCCCCCCCTTGGTACCTCCCCCTCTTACCAAGGCACTTGGTGGTTTCAGCTCTACTTCCTTTGGTTGAGTGACTTCAGGGTGGCGGGGCTTCCCTTGGGCAAGAGCAGGGCTTCCTGTGCCTCTCCTCTGTGGCTGCCCTGGCCTCTGTCCTCTCTCTGGGCCTGGGTATTGCTCAGAGCCTCCTCCTACCTCCAAATCTCTCCAGCTAAGCTTACTCCCTGCACACGCGCGCACAAACACACATACACTCACACTCACAAGCCTCAGGTGTGTCAAGTGCTTCCCCACCCATTGCCAACGGGGCCCCATCAGACCAGGTGTGTCAGGCGGGGCATCGGGCACATTACTGTTTGCTGACAACGAAGAAGCGACACGCAGGCCCAGAGTCCTTACGGGGATCAGCCGACGTGGCAGAGTTGGGAGCCAGCCCAGCCTCTGTTCTCCCTAATGAGAAGGCATTCTGACGTCCACGTGTGTGGCATCTACCGCGTGCCAGGCAGGCTTCTTTCCAGACTGTTTTTAAAGCAATATAATTTGATTTCCTTTTTACCCAGTTCAGTACTCGGTGAACCTGTTCAAACCCTCGGGTCTGAGTAGCATTTCCAAGCTGCCTGCCTTTCGGAACCAGAGGTGGCGCTGGATTTGCTCACCTTGGTCAAATCCAGTGATGTCACCCTGACTCCTTCCCTATGCAGCTGGGTTGGGTGGCTAAGGAGGCTTTGGGGTCCATCTCCCCGACCTGGCCTGTCTACACAGCAAGGAGACACAGGACCGTGCTGTCCCCTGCCACACAGAAGCAATATGAGGCCAAATGTTGAAACTGATCTGAAAAGAAGAGAATGGAGAATCGCTCCCACACCAAGGCAAACAACCCTCTGTGGCCCTACTGCACAGAGCCTAGCCGGTCACACTGGAAAGAGGTTGCTGTCCCAGCTTGTAGGTGGGAGGAGCCCACAGGCTGCTGGTTTATACCTTCAAAGACCTGTTTCCATGGAGCTGGGCAGGGCAAAGTTCACTCCATTTTTATTAGTTTTTTTTTTTCTTTTTACAGTAGCTTTATTGAGATATAATTCACGTGTTGTAAAATCCACTCTTTAAAGGTCTCCGATTCAGTGGTTTTTGGTAGATTAAGAGAGTTTTGCAACCATTACTACTATCTAATTCCAAAACATTTTCACCACTCAGAAAAGAAACTTTGGCTGGGTAGCATAGGTATATAATCCCAGCACCGGGAGGCTGAGGCAGGAGGATCTCTGGGAGCAGCCTGGGCTACATAGTGAGTTCAAGCCCAGCCTGAACTGCATAGTGAGACCCTGCCCAGCAATCAGTAATCTACTTTCTATCTCTGTAGATTAAATTCTTTTAGCCATTTCATACCAATGTATGGTTTTTGTGGTTGATCTCTCTCTTCTGTTTCTTTTCTTTTCTACCTCCCACCCCAGAATTCTCCTATGTAGACTGAGCAGGCCTTGAACTTACTATATAACCCAGGATGGCCTCAAACTTGTAGCGATCCTCCTGCCTCAGCCTCCCAAATGCTGAGAGTACCGGTATGCCTGACCATACTGGGCTGGCTGACTTCTTTTACTTTGGATGATATTTTCAAGGTCATCCATACTGACGCATCTATCATGACCTTGTTATTGTCAAATGGTACCTGTTGCGTGGGTCTGCCACATTTTGTTTACCTGTGTGTCAGTTCATGGTTGTTTGAGTTGTTTTGTCTTTAGGCTGTTAAAAATAATGCTGCCATAAACATTCATGCTGCGGGCAAGTTGTTGGGGACAGATGCTTCCAATTTGTTTCAGTCCATTTGCTGCTACAGTAACAAAATATAATAAATCAGGTAATTTATTAAAACAATGAATTTCTTCCTCAGAGTGTGGAAGCTGGGAAGAGTGGAATCAGGTGCTGGCAGCCCCTGAGGTTCATCTTTCTGGGTCTCACAGCAGAGATGTCGCAGGGGACGGGGTGAGGGAGTCGGGCAGGAGAGAGCTAAGGAAGCTAAATTCCCTTTCAGAAAAAACTGCTCTTTGGTTTTTTGAGTCAGGGTCTCTCTGTGTAGCCCAGACTGGCCTGGAACTCAAGGCAATTCTCCTGCCTCAGCCTCCTGAGTGCTGAGATTACAGGAGTCTCCTACCACATCTGGTTTAGAAAAACCCACTCTTTTTTTTTGGTACCGGGGATGGAACTCGTGACCTCACACTTGCCAGGCAGGTGCTTATGCCACTGAGCTAAATCCCCAGCCCCTAGAACAACCCACTCTTGAGCCAACGGAGCTCCTTCCTCCCCAGAAAATGTCCCTAAGCCATCATGAGGGTGGAACCCTGGGGACCCTTTAATCCCCTTTTAAAAATCCATCTCTCCGTGCTGCCTGTGGCAGAATATTTTGAAATTTGTATTTTTTATTAACACACATTTGCGGTACATAACAATTACATCCTACAGCAACTAAATTTTAACACGCACATGGAGGAGACACTCAACCTATGTCATGCAGGAGACATCGAGCTGTTTCCCAAGTGGCCCCATTGTGTGACAGTCCTGCTGGTGACAGTGACGTTTCCAACAGTGCCACCATTTCTGATCCAGTCCTGTTGCTTTTGGCTTTTTGTTTCTGTTCATATTTGGTTCCCTTTACAGCTTCAGCAGTGCGTGCTGAATTGCGGATGCTGACGCAGGCCTGCCTTGGAAGCAATGGGCCTGGTCTCAAACTCACGGCAACCCTCCTGCCTCAGCCTCCCAAGAACTGGGATTACAGGCCTGGCTGTCATTTAAAAATGTTTTTTACATCACCAATTCTCAAAGAGCTAGTTCTAAACTGGACAGGTCACTTAGAGAGGATACTCCCTGCCCTTCAAAGGGAAAAGTGGTTTATTTCGAGGCAAATAGATGTGGCTGGGAATTTCAGTGTTACATTGTCCATGAGACTCTGGGGCCTGTAAACTTTTTTCTTTCTTTCTTTCTTTCTTTCTTTCTTTCTTTCTTTCTTTCTTTCTTTCTTCTTTCTTTTTTGTTTGAGACAGGATTTTGCTTTGTAGTGTAGCCTGGCCTTGAATTCACAGCAATCCTCCTGCCTCAGCCTCTCGAGTGCTGGGGTTACAGGTGTGTGCCGCCATGCCTGGAAAATTTTGTCTTTCTGAGTCTGCAATTCTCCTGCGAAGGAGACTGAACACATATCACAGGGCCCTTGCTAGGATACCATGGGGCTGGTTAGTGGGCAGTATTACACCTACACAGGGCGGTCCACCATCCCAGCTGCTCCTGGGTAGTATAAGTTGCTAGGGCCACCAGTGATTAGGACCCTTGCACCTGCAGCCCAGGGGGTTGTGGGCGTGGACGTGGGTGACAAATGCTATGAAAGTGATGTTTGAGGTTCGCTGTGGTTGAAGAGGAAGCGTGTGGCAAGACAGGTCAAGCAGAAGGAAATGGCGGTGGGAAGGGCTGGGCAGCTGGGTGGCAGGGCCAGGGACTCCTGGAGTGTGGGCCCCTCTCAGCTCCAATGTGTAGGCCGGACCTTTGGCTTATAAATCAGATCAGAAAAAGGCTTGACCCCCTCACTACCTGGTAGACACTCAGACCTCTGTGTCTCCAGAGCCAGGTGAGCATGGGGCATGTGAATACCTCAAACAGTGGGTTTAGGAAGAAAAAAGAGACAGGAAGCAGAGATTAGAATATGGAAGGAGCAGAAGGGTTGCAGAGAAAAGGAGTTCTGATGCTGCTGTTTAATATCCTGTGATCTCAGGCAAGTCTTGACTGCTCACTCTGGCCTCAGTTTATGTATCTGCAAAATGGGGATAAACACAACCCTCCTAGGACAGTAAGCATTGAGTTGAATGAGGTGGCACAGAAACACTGCTGCAAAGTGCTGCACCCCTTCTGGATGACTGCTCAATTCCTGCTCAATTCAAGGTCTGAGGAATGGATCCAGTCGACCTGGCACAGCCATACAAGGAAGTATCAGTCAGCGATGGAAACAAATGAGATACCGATCAGGATTGCAAGAGGCTGAGGAGGGAGGCCAGACACAAAGACCTCACAGAGAATGATCCCACTCATGTGGAATGTCCAGAATGGGCAAATCTATAGAGAAAGAAGCTTAATGGTTGTCTGCAGCTGGTGGTGGTGGGGAGCTGGGAGACTGCTAATGCATGCAGGGTTTCTTTGGAAATGACGAAAATCTTCTGGACTTGCTTCGTGGTAGTGATTGCCCAATCCTGAGTGTACCAGGAAGGACTGAATTGTACACTTTAATAGGTGAAATGCTTGGTATGCGGACTGTATCCCAATAAAGCTGTTAAGAAAACAAGTGTGTTCATTACTTTGTCCTCCAGCAGCTCTCCGTCGGGGAACTCGCAGGGCGAACACACATGAACGACTGTGTTACTCGTCACTTACAGGGGCCCCGTGGCTGCTGCAGAGACCCAAGCGCAAAGCCATGAGGGAAGCCTGCGCTGCTCACCTGGAGGCGGCGGGTGGTGGCATGATGTGCCCTGACAGAAGGGAGCCGGGGTGCTGTGGGAGTGCAGAGGGGGGCATCGTGCCAGCGGGGAGGGCCCAGAGGCCTCCGGAAGCCTTGAGAGCCAGGGAAGGAGCGTGGAGGGCACTGAGTCCAATGCAAGCCCTAGACGGCCAGCTCGGACAGTTAGGTGTGCAGCGCTTGCTAGAGAGAAGGAAAGGCTGGGCGCTCTGCTGGGAACCTCCAGGATGTGGTGCTGGGAGGTGTTTGCTGAATGAGTTACAAATGGTATGAAGTAGAAGCCTCAGGACTCCCAGCCCAAGATGTTGCTTCAGTGACACTTTCTCCAGGGATCCTAGGGCTTTTACAGATTTTTTATTTCCCGCACTGAGAACTGAACCCAGGGCCTTGCACACACAAGGCAAATGCTCTACCACTGAGCTAAACTCCAGCTCCCCCAGGATTCTAATGTCACACAGAGTGGAAACACTTCAGCAAGGCCACAGGACAGCTTCTGCTGGAGCCCAAAGTGCTTCTCACACTTTGATCATCTCTTTTTTAGGGGAGGGACATTATTTTGAGACAGGGTTTCACGCTGTAATACAGGCTGGCCTTGAACTTACGGCAGTCCTGCTGCCTCAGCCCCCTGAGCACTGGAATTACAGGCTTGCACCACCATGCCTGGCTGACTGCTCTTTGTGTGGGACAGGATCTTGCTATGAGGCCCACGCTGGCCTTAAACTCACTATGGAGACCAAGTCGGCCTCAAATTCATGGCAATCCTCCTGCCTCAGTTTCCTGAGTGCTGGGATTACAGGTGTG